AACCTTTTTTGGATCGGCTCGTGACTGGTGATGAAAAATGGATCCTGTACAACAATGTTCAACGCAAAAGAACATGGAAACAGGCACACGAAGGGGCGGAACCGATGTCGAAAGGTGGATTGCATCCGATGAAGGTACTGCTGTGCATTTGGTGGGATATCCGAGGCGTGATCTATTTTGAGCTCTTGCCAGCTGGAGAAACGATCACTGCCAACAAGTATTGTCAGCAATTGGTCGAATTGAAGAAAGCAATTGATGAAAAACGTCCGATTTTGGCCAATCGCAAAGGAGTTCTTTTCCATCATGACAACGCCAGGCCACATGTTGCAAAACCGACCCTGGCCAAACTGAAGGAGATGAATTGGGAAATCATGCCGCATCCCCCATATTCACCCGACATTGCACCTTCTGATTATCATTTGTTTCGATCGCTGCAGAACAATTTGAATGGAAAAAAATTTAAAAATGTGGAAGACGTCAAAAACCACCTTGACACCTTTTTCAACGAGAAACCGCGCGATTTCTATGAATCAGGCATCCGTAAATTGGTTGAACGTTGGGAGTGGATTGCCGAACATGATGGCGAATACATAATTGATTAATAAAAGCGCTTTCTTCAAAAAATTTCAATTTTAGTTTGCACTTGAAATCGGGCACGAACTTATGCACTCATCCAATACTCTGGACAACACCGCCATCTCTTAGATAAAAATCAAACGAACTTTTTCCTTAACCTAATATATATAATATAACAGACATGTGTACCAACATAACAGAGAAAAAGCGAAAATCGAATATACATACGTAAATCACGAAATTTGAAAATAGCGGATATTTTCTGATCCCCGCTCGTTCCTATTGAAAATGGTTTTATTTATTTATCTTTTGCGGTTTATCTTAATCCTTCCTGAATTACTTTAACGGTATTTTCCATAACAGCACGAAGGAGTTTTCTACAAATGTTGGAAACACTGATAACAAGTTAATTTTAAAGAAAATTAGTATAACACTTATATGTAAGGTTTTCTAGCATTTTTGAAATTTTTTAATAATAAGCATTTTTTCCATATTTCGTTGCAATAAATTAATGATTATTTTTGTTGCGAACGAAATATTTTAATGACTGAACGAATTTCGGCATGTTTCCTTAACACATTTTCCACGATTTTATTTACAAATTTACCAATTTTTTGTTTGTATATTTTTTAATAGAAACAAATCCCAATATTCTCTGCAATTCCATTAGTATTTTTTAAGTGTACACAAAATAAATAAATTCATAAAATTTTTTTACGCTTTGCTTTTATAAACATATGTACATACGTACATACATATGTAAGTATTTTCATGCCTACATACATATGAAAACTTTGAAAATAAACACAAAATCTTATATTTACATTCAATTACGCCAACTACGCAATATTTTGGGAAAATTTTCTTTATTGCCTGCATTGTATTTATGTAATTTTGAATTTAGCATTTAATTAGCAATTAATAAATATAGCTAAATAAAAAAAGAATGAAATTAAATAACAAAGAGTCGGCGTTCCCTGGCATGAGTGTTTATATTGTAAATAAAAATAGAAATAAGGCAGGCAAAGCAGATATAAAAAAACTCAAGAAAATTCAATAAAGTGGAATAAGTGGAAAATATAAATTATTAGCAGACGCGGGCACACGTTGCTATGGCTTTTTGTATTTTGCCCAATTTTTATACCAACAAGTAAATTAACCATTTTCTAATTCAAAATATTAAATCTTTCATTATACTCATATTGTCAATGTAACTAATTATTTATAAGTGTGGATAATTTCTTAGCTGCTCAAAGGCTTCAAAAAAAATGTCAATTTGATTGCCTTGGAATAAGCACCATTAGGATCCATGCTTATTCACACGCAAGTTGAATTTGTAGCCGAAGAATAATGAAAACGCGAAGCGAACATACCTAAGCGCGATATACGCGCTGGGGACGAACGAGACGCAGATGAAGAAGCTACAGGCCTGCCAGAACACCGCCCCCAGTACTGCGACAGGAAACCTCCTGATGTCGGCGGGGCATCACTTGCACAGCGAAGCATCTATGCTATAAGTTAAGGAGCATAATGGTTTACTGTCCAAGTAGTTCCTATTCGGTTGTTACCGCAAGGAGTACTCGACTTAAAAAATACAACAACTTGTATAACAACCGCTGGACAGGACGGCGTACATACATGCACAGAACGCCATTCACCACGAGTCAGTGAACACCTTCAAAGACTCCCTTCCAGTGAATGGCGTACTCGGAGAAAACCCACCACCTATGGCAGACAACGAGCTCGAGCTGTATCGAGAGACCCGCGCACGCGTAATTTTGGCATAACTCAGGTCTGGATACTGTAGCAGGTTAAACTTCTACTTATCCAAACTCGACCGCAGCATATTCAACGTATGCCCTACATGTGGAGAGTCTACGCACGACACTAACCACCTCTTCACATGCCCCCTTAAACTGATTTATCTAACAACCCTCTCCCTTTGGTCCAATCCCGTCGAAACAACTCGTTCCCTGAACCTCCCATTAGATGAACTCGGCGACTTAGATTAGTGAAACCTGTACCTAAGCGGGGTTAGCGAACTTCTACAATAACATAAACAACAACAGCGCGCAATATATGCTGTTACTCAAATAATACTAATTTTTGTGAATTTCCCGGTGATCGTTTTCCCGTAACCGAATTCGGCTTCAGGTCACTTATCCATTTCCAGGAAACCAAAGTAATCCATTAAGGCATATCATCCAAAAATTTAACTAAAACAATTCATAAATATGTATGTCCTTGGAATGCGGAAGATAGATCTTCTTGAAACACGTTACTCGTTACTTTTTCTAATAAAACATCCAACATTCGGGTTTCGAAGATTAAAGATAGATAGAAATGGAGGACCAGATACATCAACATGTTGACTTCATGTAAAATAGAGGAGCCACAATAGCCTTGGGGTTAGCATTGCGTACCGCCATTCAGAAGGCGCGGGTTCAAATCCTGGTGTCGTACTAACATCCAAATATTAAAGAAAATTAATTTAAATAAAAAATTAAGATAAAATTTCTAATTGTGGTCGCCCTTCGGCAGAAAATATCATCTCCTCCGACTGTATTTCTGACATGAAACTGTAGATCCCTCCATTTGTTGGAAAAACATCAAGCCGTAAGACCATAAATTGAAGGAGGAACTCGGCAGAAAATCGCTTCAGCGGTTGCAAAGCGCCATGTCAAATATTGATAGCAATAGCGTGGGTAGTTCCATAAAATAATTGCAGTAAGGCAAAAGGCTCGCTAACAAGACTACACGAGATCTTCATTATTTGGTCATAGAAGTAGGCATGGCAATGAAAAAGCTGATAAATTGGTCCAATAAGTTGTTTCTGTTCTCGGCGGCCGCGGTAGCTGAGTAGTTAGCATTTCGTACTGCCATTCGGAAGGCCGGAAATCGTTTAAGCGGTTACATGCGCCAATTATATAAGATGCTTCTATTGACGTCTCCGAAGCAAAGATAACACAGAAAGAGTGGAGAGCGAATTCCAATTATGGCAAAGAGCTCCAACAGGTGTCGCTCTGCCCTACAAAAGCCACTACCGTATATTGAAGATAAATGGAATGAACTCTTAATATCTTTTGAGAGTGTTTAGCTTGGGTACCAAACTGTATCAAGACGCAGCAGTTATAGTAGAAATAAAGAGCTCAAACGGAGGCACATCAATATGATATTTCTGGACTAATTACGGAAGAAGGTTGACATTTTCGAAGGACTCCAACACACCGCATGTAAGAAAAGTAATATTAATACGCTCCCATTGGAGTCCACACCCCGAGATTCATTTAAAACGCAGTTTCTCTCGAGTTTTCTGTAGTAAGGAGTTGAATGAGCCCTTAGTTCTCGAAAAATACACTTTCACTTGTCCCCAGAGACCTCTACTTCTGCCACGCTTTTTGTACATCTTCTGGTTTTCTTTCTTAGAGCATTCTCAATGCACACCGATCCCCATATAAATGCCTCTTACATTACGCCTCTTCTTAATGAGAAAAGACACATTTCACAAAAGTTGAAAAGCAAATCAAATCACTTTTCATCACTCATAATCAAAAGTCAATAAAAGCTAATCTTTGCAGAATAGAATTTATCACGAATGAAGGCAAATGCAAAGAACAAATTCATGCAATTTAAACTTGTGAAATTAATACAATGTGTGGATAGATGAGATTCAATGGAAAAGTATTGAAATCAATGAAAGTTAATCAAATGACATCTAAGCGGATTTGAAACGCTCCACAGTATGCCAACCATTCCAACCCAGAACTCATAAGGTGAATGTCGCATCCCAAAGGTATTACGAGCGCAGTGCATGAACCGAAGAAACTGTTCACCCAACCACACACCACCACTCACACATACAAATATTGATTTAAACTTTTAATAAAAACAGTATTCTGTCGTTGTCCCAGTTAGTTGTGGGCATGAATAAGGCATGCGTTGGTTGGAGCAAGAGGATTTTGGCACACAAACGTATGAATATGTGACCGCGTTGGCCCATGAAATGAAAATCATGCTGCACATACTCACATATACAAGTGAGGCAGTGAGAAAACCATTTAGCTGGAGAAATGAACGGATGCAGGCAGGCACATACAGGCGGACAGCTGTTGCGCATTGCCAGCGATGATGAACCAGATCCACAGGCAGGGCACAGGCAAGTAAAGTAAACACAAGCGCACAATGCGAGGAGAGAGTGTCACAAAAGTCATGGCTGAAGACAAAGAATAAGAGCTCATACGAGTATCCTTTTACGTGGAATTCGCACAACTTGTGGAACCATGTTAAATATTTATTTGCATAAGCTTGTGTATAGGAGGGGAACGAAATATGGGTTGCATGTAGAATGGATATAGAGAAAATGGCATGAAATAGTAGAAATAAATATTTGATTTAAAACATTTAGATATTCAGATTATACTCACAGTAAAAGTTCCTTAAAAACTATGTGCTCGGCGAGTCGCCCTCCTCAGCTGGCGATGCTATATTGCTGTCCGATGTTGAGAGTGGTCGACAAATGCCCAATTTAGTTCTCCCCACTGGCATGCCCTTGAGTATCTCCACTGCCTTGTCCAGGTCGATGCCTTGCAAGGTGTGCTCACCGACGCTGACCAACCGATCGCCGGGGAATATCTCATTAGTTGCTTCGGCGGCACCACCGCGTATCAGACCACGTATCACAATCACCGTACCTTCAGCATCCAACGGGTCTTGGTAGTCCAGTACGGAGAAACCGAAACCAAATTCGGTTTTTTCAATTTCTATTGTGGTGATATCGCTACTCCATAGCGCCAAACCTGAAACGTTCTCCAACGATTTGGATCGTTGCTGGTCGGTTAGCGTGGCAGTGCTCGATGTATAGAGTGAACTTTCCGATTGCGCTTTTGTCGTTAGTAAATTCTGTAAACTCTGATGACCGCCGGGTAGCAGCGAGCGTGTTTCGAATGCTTCGGGATTTTGTGATGTATTTATTACGGATGGTGCGGTGGGACCACGCGCACATATCAGCTTCACATGTGTTGGCAGTTCTTTGAGTATTTTAACAACTTCGGTGTGCTTGAGTCCTTGTAATTTATACTCGTTCACTTGCAGTAGTTCGTCACCCGGTTTGAGTATGCCTTGACGGCCGACAGGTCCATCTTCCAGTATGGCGCGTATATAGTGATGTGGGCGCTTTTCAATGCCGCCTTCGACATCCACGGTGCCCTCCAGGCTGATTCCTAGACCTGAAAGTTTATTTATTTCGGCTACAATAATTTCACTTTCAGGAAACTCACTTTTCCAGGTCAGCTTCAGTGTCTCCAAATTGCTTGGGGGGGCTTGAGTTGTTGAGGCAGACTTGCCGGTTGGCTTCGTAGGCGCAGTTGTAGTAGACGCTATCGTAGTTGTTGTCGTTGTTTCCGCAGGCACCGTTGTTACTGTAGTGGTCACCGTCATCGCCGTTTTAGATGTGGTTGCGGCAGCTGTTGTTGTTGTTACTGCTGTTGCTGTCGCAGCCACTGATATGACCGACTTCTTGCGACTGCCGTTTAACTGACTGCCGCCCTGTTGCGCTAGTTTAGGCGTTTGCGACTCTTTCGCTGGCGTTTGGTCCTCTAGCGTTGCCGAATCCTGATCATCGCTGTTATCGTTTCCATCGACGTTAGCACCATTGATATGCGTTGATTTACCGTTAGTGATGTGCTTTTTGTCGGGCGTTGTTGGCGTCTTGTGACATTTGGAACTACTAATACCGCTGTGGTCGCTGCGATCCAGCATATAGGACATGTTCGAGTCGACCGTCTCGCGTGATGGAAAGTCGGTAAACTCCATCATTATGATGCCACCTTCAGTGGCCACGGAATCGGCATCCGAGCGCGGTGGCAACCACGAAAGTGTGGCAATCGAAGGTGATGCGGGCAGTGAACTTTGTGATTGCGTGTCTCCCTTCAATTCTGTGAGTGCATTTTGCAGGTGTTCATATTTACGTCCTCGCAGGAAACGTTCCAGTGTGAGGTGGACTTCGATGTCGGTGTTGCGTAGTATCTCTACCGCTTGATGATTGGTCACACCCGCCAGCGAACGCCCATCCACCGCCACAATGCGATCGTTAATCTGTATGCGCCCACTCACCTCAGCGGCGCTACCTTCGATGATACTCTTCACGAATATACCCGAAAGATCTTCCTCCTCACAAACATAACCGGCCACAGTTATGCCAAGGCCGTAGACATTTTTATGCAGTTCCACCACGTAAGTCTCCGTTTCAGGTGAATCGATGTATGTCGATGAAGCCGTTGAGCAGCGATCGGCGTCAATATGCGCTGCGTCCGGCACGGTCGTTGAGGTGCCGGCATCGGCGCCAGCTATCACAGTCTCAGTATGTTCCAACTGAATGGTTTTCGAGTTATTAATGATGGTGGTGCTGATAGTGGTGGTGGTAGTGGTGTTGGTGGTGGTAGAGGTGGTGGTGGTGATGAGCTCAAGCTGCTGCTGCAGTGAGCTCGCTAAAACCGACTTACTAACGTGCATTGCTGTCGCGTTTGTCGGAGACATCGAGGGCAGTAGAGGCGGCGGTGACGGTGACACAATCGAAAATGGTACAATATCCAAATCCCTGGGACACATGCGCGCCGCTGCAGCCGACGCAGACAACTGTAAATCACTTGGTATAGGTGGCAGTGGCAAATCGGCTAGTTCAGTATCCGGCGTTGGCAGGAAGCAGCCACCGACACTGACGCCGACGTTGACGTTGACGGTGCCGCCGTCGCCGCCACCGCCAACGCTTGTAGCACTAGTAGCAAAGCTTGGATTTTGAAAGAGATGCCGTGACAGTTCTTCTGGGTCGGAGAGGAGCTTAGTTGGAATAATTGGCGCATGACTGGCCAACGTTTGTAAATCGATGGCTGTCGGCTCCACCGGCCTCGCAACAATCAATCGAACCTGAGCTCCAGTCTGACGAAGAACCGTTGCTACTTGCTCGGAACTGAAGCCACGCAAGTTCACATCGCCAATTTGCAGCAAATGATCGCCGCATTGCAAACGACCATCACGTTCGGCAACGCCGCCTGGAGTTAAAGCTTTAATAACAACACCAGTACTGCGTCCACCCACCAATATAAAGCCTAAACCATTGCCATCGTTAACCAAATCGATTACTTCTACCTGAGACCATTCGGTACTTAAGACCATTATGCCAATGCTAGAATTGCTAGCGGTCCTTGCGTTTTCCTCGTGTTCTTCTTCGGCACTATCTTCGTCTTCGTTGTCGTCTTCTTCGCTATCGTTGTTTTTATCGCACAAAATGCAACTTCTGTAACTACCAACCTGTTCACGGTTGCTGTAAGACGACGTCGTGAATGTCGATTGTGTGTAAGCTTTTGCCGTACCTGCTGTCTGAGTCGTTGCGAGCCGTGGACAACTACGACTGCTGCTAACATGACTTGCGACTGGCGACACCGACAGCGTCAGTGATATAGCGCGCGGATATGACTGCCACTGTACCGACGACGACAAAGGACAACAGTGCGATAATGATGACGAACGTATCGGCGGCACTGGCGGTGGTGATGACGCTGACGAGGCGCGTATATTCTGCGACGATGTTGTTGTGTACGGCAAGGGCGGTAGTGCCTTAAAGACGATAGTGCATTGACTGCAGGATGTTGAAGAGGAACTGTGGGATGTAGAGGAGGATGAAGTGGGGCAGGAAGTAAGGTGCACGGGCGAAATGGGTGTTAAGTGTGGCAGTCGGTGTGGCTGTTCACGCTGCTGCTCTATAAGTTGACGCAAATTGGAACTTGCCGCGTCGTCGATTTGCTCGTCGCTTGCGTTGTTCTGTTTGTGGCAGCTGTCGATTACGTGTCGCGTACGTCAAATATTGTTGCTGCTGCTGGCGCTGCCTCCAACTGCGTCGATGTCGGCTAGCCGATGCCTTTCTAGGTTATCAATCGCAAAATGTGGATGATTGTCGTTGCGCCGACGTTGGTGTATGTGACAGCAGTTGTGACGTAAAATGCCAAGTGGTTGCTGCTGTTTCTGTGCACTGCAGCTCTCACTGCTCGTCCTCTTGCAGGGTTGCGCAATATTGATGTACACTTTGTTGCTGTTGTTTGCACTATTTTTAGCACGATTGGCGTCGTTATTGCTTGGCTTCTTCTGAAGGCAAATGGCTGTCGTTTTATTGGCGCTCTGATTGTAGGCGAACTGTACGCTTTGACAGTTTTCCTGTTCGTCGTTGACGGCGTTGCTGCTGCTGGTTTTGCTTAAAGTTTGACACCCATCCCGTGCAGCATGTGTAACGTGCATAGTAACCACAACAGCAAATAACTACAGTCCCACCCACGCACGCACGCACGCATACACGTTAGACAGCGGGCGCGCGTCAAAACACTTTGCTTTTTGAATAATATGGAGCTTATAGACGTAGCGCGCGACACGGTCTTTGTGGTAATGTTACAAATTATATGTTCGTATTTACTACGCCCGTTGGTTGTTTCTTATTCTAACGCGGTGCGCGTATTCACTAAATTGCGCCACTTTATCTCATTTAAAGTATAAAAAAATTGCGCTTCTTGGCATCCCAGCATGGCGCTGCGTTGTTGCCTGATGTCTCATGTCTAATGCTGGTACGCGACATGTGCCTGCTGTGGAAATGTATATATGTTGTTGTTTTTATTGAATTATATTCGCGGTTCGGTAAATGGCGGCGGCGGAGGAGCTGGTGGCTGGCTGACTTGCTGGCTGTGTGTGCGCGTCTCGCGTCTCTAAAAAGAACCTATTCTCCTACATGCTACGTGATACACGCGTCGACAGTTAAATATACGCGCCTCTATTAGCGGTGTTATGACAAGAAAATTTCGCAACAATTCCTTCAACGTCGACGATAACCTCGCGTTAGGTTATTTTGTGTCAAATAACAGTATTTATGCATATGTTTGTGTGTGTGGCGCATTAAGAAAAAATGGCTTGGTGGCATAGCAATACTACGCAGCCCTAACGGTGTACGTATTCGTAACATTTAATGACATTAGCTAACATAAAACCATATGAGAATTGCGCCACACACGGTGACGAGCTCTCCGCGAACAACTGTTGTTCCGCGTTGCAAGCTGGCATAGCATCAGCAATTACCCTTCGTTATTATCTTGGTTTTTGCAATTTATACTGCCTGCGTGTTGTCTGCAATCTACCAGCTGTTAACTGCCTGCCTCGCTCTCTCTCACTGACTCTCTCACTCTCTGTGTTTGTCTCTGTCTCGGTGTTGGTGTGTGGTCTTGCTTGTTTAACTAATTTTTTGCAACTCATTTGTTCATTATGCGCTTTAATGATGTGGTTAACAACCACAACTGTCTGCCTCTCTGCCTCTCTGCATCTCAAGCGCTCTGCTACTTAGCGTGCGGGCGGACTGAAGATTTTGCCGCGCATTCGCTGCTAATGTGTTGGAAAATGTTAAAGGCGTCTGTGTTGTTCGTAAAATCGAATAAATTATAATTTTTATGACGAGAAGAAAGTACATATTTTCCGTATAAACTCTAGCTTGACAATGAAAGTTAATGACGGAGAAAAGGATAAAGACTGTCGAATGCAATGAGTGGGTATTCAGGCGCACTGAAATGAAGCCTGCTGTCGAAACAGTATTCATACTGATTTCTTCCTACAAGTAGTTACTTTCCTAAACCAGTGTTTCAAAGTAAATCCTCCCGCTAATCGACTAAAATCCACACGTATTTAACCGCTAGTTTGCACTGGAACAAAATAATCAGTTTGTCCTTTGGCTTAGTTAGGGATAAAGCTTCCCGGTGGTTAGCAAACTCTTATTTCTTTTCCGTAAAGAACAGTCCGAAAAGACTGAAAAGCGGTTGATTGATTGTTTGGCCAAAAGGGTTAAGTTGAAGACCCAACTACAAGCGGCCACACATAACTCACACATTCCTTGTGTATTCCAACTATTCGCTTGATCTTATAATTGTTATAATTTCTTCCAACCAGGCGTGCCAACATAAGTCGGACTGGAGCAAGAAGCAAAGTAAAAAATGTCACATCTCAAGCGACTGACGGACGAAGAGTCGTAAAAGTAGTGCTTCATCGTCTCGTCATCTTCTTTACCTACCTTGTGGAGTTGATATTTCAGTGGTAGTTCCCCCGTCAATACAGCCACAAGAATACTAAGTTCTCGCTTGCTTAATGCAAGTAACAATTTGAGCTGTCTACAGTCCACTCTGCCACAGAATAAATTAGTGATATGTTGTCAGTTGGAAGTGCACCAGGACCATAACTGTTACTCCACGGTCCACTGCATAAGGCAACATTTGAAGGCGCTGAACGATCTGAGGCAGTCAGCCAGCTCAAGCGCCTTTTCACTGCTTCATATAGCCGCGTGTGCTGGGCTTCAACTGATATTCATTGTGGTTTCTTGCGATAGGCTGTCAATTGCCTCTTAACGACTTCTCTTGAAACACTTTGTTTGCTGTCTACCAGAAAACAGCGCTTGCCCATTTGGGATCTAATACACCCTTTGGGACCTTAGTCCCCATTTCAACTCCCGCCAGATAAGCCAGACTAATGGACTACATAATCCCTCGCCTGCCTTTTGGGAAGCTGTTATCTGAGAAGAGTAGATAGAGACTGGATGCCAGGTCACATGAGTATAGAAGGCAAGCAGAAAGCTGACGAACTGCCTAAGGAAGTCGTTCTTTTAAAAGGACAGTGAAGCAAACGCAAGAAGAAACTTTGTTTCGTCTGGCAAATAGAGCCTAGCATCTCTATCTCTTGACTGTTCGTTTGATGGCAGGAGATATTTCGTTTTACTCTCGTTTTGAACCACACTCAAGCATACCGCTTCGCTTCTATAACCAGTCTGAAGAGGGCAGAGCTCACGGCACAGTTGCTGGGCTCAATGATGTAAATATCATTGGCATACGCCAGCAGCTGGACACTCTTATAGAAGATTACACCTTCTCTATTCAACCCTGCAGTTCGTATTATATTCTCCAGCAATGAATCAAAGAAGCCAAGCAATAAGGAATTACTTTGTCTGAAACCTGATTTAGTATGGAACGGTTATTTTTGTGAAGTTTTGTCTTTGCGATATTGTGGAGGCTTATCACACGGTAATTGGGGCAGACCGTGGGTTTCTATTTTTTTTTATGAATTGGGCAGAACGCATTGTTTCGTCGGGAAGCTGAATTTGTCGACGGAGGCAGCAAGGACCTACTCGACTCGTTCTTGTCTCATCCAGCATACTTCTTGGACGGCGGTGATATCAGCTTTAAGTTTAGCGAGACCATCGCCAAAGCGGGACAGCAGCACCTTACCAATTAAGGAACCGGACATTCCAGGTGTTTGCCCCAAAATTATGATCATTGAAAAAATTGCAAGGATCGTTACCAGAAGGGCGTATCTCACCCGTGGCGTCGCTAATTTTTTCATTGAATCTGATTTCTACGCAGGTGGTCCCAAAGCCGTCTAGCAAGCCGCTTGCTTCAAGATTGAAGCCCACTACCTGCCGCACCTCTGATGTACAGACATTGCAATTAGACTTCCGCGAATATTTAAGCCGAATAAGTCGAAGTGGTTCCATAAAAGCTTCCTCTCTTTTGGCCGTGAACCAAGGCTCCCCACAAATTGGTTATCGCATCTTGCAGAACGGTAACTGCTCAGCATTACACACTGATATTCACTCAGTAAAACTTACTCGCTCAGATACTCTTTCTCTTGAACTCTAGATCATATACCTACTGAAAAAGTAAATGAGCGCCAGTTTTTAGGGAGCAAAGCAAATGGATTTTTCCAAAACAATTATGTGTAAGAAGAATGTGATGACATTCACTTTAAAACTACTATAAATTCTCAAAAGCTTGAGTTTTCCATTTTCCTCTAATATTTTAAGAGAGAGAGGAAAAAATAACTTTAGCCTCGTGTGCTGTGGAATCCACGCTCAAAATGCACTTATGAATTTATATTTAATCTTCCACTTTCTAATTTTCTACTCTTTCTAAATTTATGCTCCACGCCAGTCTATTCCATTTCACTTTACTTAAAAATGAAAAGAAGTAAAAATATTTTCTACCAACAAATTGTGGCTAATTTAACGTTGCGCTTCTACACTCCACCATATCACTTCACTTTCCTTTCCCATGCAATCCAATTTAAACTTTAAATGAAAAAGGCTTTATGCCTCCCTTTCCCTGACCGGCACACCGCCAAACGTGCAAACACACTTTTGTGTATCGCATTTGTTATACGCCATTGAGCACACAGACTGCGCCTGCCTGCCCGCTTGCCGGCCTGAGAGCTGCCGGTCCCCATACAGGATTAAGGTCATCTGCCACACGAGCCGAACGCAAACTTGCATAAATGTGCATTGTAACTAAAAAAAACCATTTGATAATTTTAGCCAAGTCATTATTATTATTTAAATACAATAAATTATGATGGCGAAGCAGTGGAGTTGAGAGGAAATATTGAAATTTAAAGAAAAAAAATTCAAAAAAGTAATGAAATTACTTAGGAATAATGGTCTGAGAATTTTTGTTTTTTTATAATTTTATAAAAACGAATACTCAGTAGTCATTTATTCCGTTCTTTATGCCTCTACACCATTTAACTGGACGGAAATGATAAGCGACTTGTAGAGTTTGGTCTTTGTTCGTAGAGAAAAGACTTTGCCTTTCAATTCCCCACTCAACCGGAAGTATAAATATAAATAGTAGGTGGTTTATAACCGCTGAAGCGATGTTCGGGGAGTTCCACCTTCAATTTGTGTTTTGGCGTTTTGATGTTTTTCCGAACGAACGATGGATTTCTGAGATTTGCTTTTATTTTATGTTAAGAAATACTAGGAGCGGCTGCAATTAGAAAAATAAATTTTCTATAATTTTAGATGTTGGTCCAACCAAAAGTCGGGACCTGGTCTGCAGAATGGTAGTACGAAATGCTAACCACTTGGCAAGTGCGGGCATCGGAAGTAGACTTTAAAGTTACGACTGTCCACAGTGGCCTAAGAGCCAAATCGCAAAGGCAATGAACGTTTCTTTAATGACGGAAGATATATCGTCTTGCCATCGTTCACTACCGGATATACGCTTCGCTTTCTTATCCAATTTGGAGATAGCAGAAAATACGTTGCGATTTTCGAGGAGAATGTTGTCAATATTTTCGGCTTACTCCAGAAGTTCTACACTCTTATAAACGATTGTACCTTCGCTTTTAAGCTCTTCAACTCGTATTATTTTCTCAAGCAATAAATTTAAAAAGTCACAGGATAAAGAGTCACCTTTTCTGAAACCTCATTTGGTATCGCACGGCTCGGAGAAGTGCTTCCTGTTACTGACGGAACTTTTGGTGTTGCCGTATAAACGTATTTTATGTCTGCATTGGACTTCAAGGAAAAGTCGTATGTTTTATGGATTTTTAGTTAGCTAAAGCGAGCAAAAAGCGGGAACTTCATGGAATAAGAAAAAGCTGTAGTTAAATAAATTCTCGTTCGTTTATGATTAGTCAAAGTCAAGTTCATTTAAAGCCTTGGCTTCCACTACCACTTAACTAGAACCAGAGGGAAAAACAGTTGATTTCCAGACACTGAAGACTAAACAAGGTTCGGCTGGCTGACATAATTGCAGAAGCTTCAGAATTGTCTGGCGATATATTTTCATACTTCGTTGACAGATAACAGAACTCCGAAGCAAAGCGAGAGATGAAGATTTTATGTCAACTTGCTTTCAAGGTGCAAAACTAGTGACAAAAGATCGGCCAAGCAAAAGCCTTTTGACTTTTTCTTATTAAGACTAGATGATGGAACCTTATATTAGTCAAGCCAAGCCAATTCTTTAGACCAGTTGGTAGATTCATGGAAAAAGAGACCTGTGTTCACTTGACGTTTCATATTAATATTTTGAATGCTCCTTAGAAGTGAAAGAAATGGGCTGAGAGCATCGGTTGGTCTCAAAATCTCGGTAGAAACGACCAAGTTTTGATGTCTTTCGTTGTATTTCTACATACAGGGCGGGCAGCAATGAGTATCAATAAATCAATAAGTCGGAATTGATATGCCGCAAATGTGATGAAACCTTTCTCAAGGAAAGCTTAAAGTAACCAATGCTTCTCGTAGAAAGTTTTTAATCCAAAATTTGTTGTTCTGTTTGGCTGACGAATCAACACACAGCACGCACTGTTGATTTTAGAGCCAGGAGACTTCGACAAGAAAGTATTGTGGTTTCAAAAGGTTTGTATTCATGGACTCGGAACATTGGTAGAAGTTTATATAATTGGCGCTTTGTAACCGCAGAAGCGATTGTCGACCGACCTTCTCCTCTAATTTGTGGTTTTGCGTCTTGATATTTTTCCAACGAATTGGAGGAGCCCACAGTTTATAATAAGTCACCTCCGAACGGCTGATAGTTTTTTTTATGATGAGCCTTTATTTCATGCCTGAAACACACTCGGAGGGTTGGACATTTCCCGCCGAGGTGCGAACGCAATTACAAAATTTACCTTAATTTCTTATTTTAAATTAATTTTCTACAACATTTTGAAGTTTTTCGTGCCAGGTTTTGAATCCTGGCCTTCCGAATGGCCATGCGCAATACTAACCAATCGGCTAGCGCGACCCCCTATATTTCTTTGCAGGGGAAGTGAACCTGGGGTCGATTTATTTGAAAAAAAACAAAACAATCGTAATCTCGTTGAGACCTATTCTTAAATATTTATATACACCCAAAAGCAATTGTAGAACTATTTATTTATTATATAATATCCGCTTTGTAACCGTTGATGCGATTTTCGGCCAAGGAGGAGCTCGATGGTGTGCGTCTTAATGTTTCCCCAACAGAATAGAAGAACCGACAGTCTATACCAAGCCTCCTCCGCACAGCCGATAGATTTTATGAGGAGCTTAACATTGCCTGCCGAGAGCCGACCGCAATTAGAAAAATTTTCAATAATTTGAAAGTTAATCTGACCAGGACTCAAACTCTGGACTTCCGAATGGTACTAAATACGCAATGCTAATCACTCTACTATTGCGATCAAATCAGTTCAGTTGAAAATTTTGATAGACCTCAAGCCTTTTGCCACAAATACCACAGTGTAAGCGGTATACATTCCAAGAGCAACTGGGAGTTCCGCAGACAATGGAAATGAACAACATTGGCGTAGTCCAAGGGCTACGTTTCGTAAATTTGCGATGCCTACCCGCTGCTGGAAGTAGAGAAAGAGCTCCACTCTAGTAGAAAGAGCTTGGCGAAGAATAACCGCCTTAAAAGGGTGTTCTATTTGATCTCTTTATGCCTAAGAAAGTTCAAACGGTCGAACAATTTTTGTGTCACATAAAATTCGAGTGAACGCGAGTGCTTTCCAGCAGTCTTAATTGCAAATTATTTATTAGCAGATTCTTCATGCACAAAAGAATTGTGCCAAAGGAAGTAGTAGAAAATCGATAAAAGCCATAAGCAACAGCTTGGTAAACACACACCTCAAATTAGTTAAAGAGTTCGCACTTAAAGCAGCGAAATTTTATATACATATACATATGTAATGGCTTTATAGTCGCACACGCAGAGATTCTCTTCGATTTTTATTTTTTTTTTTTTAATTTTTTTAATTTTTTTTTTTTGTTAAAATTCCTTCACTTCCCTAGCAAGGAGCGCGCGTATTTAGAAAAAAAAAATTCAATTTTAAACTCCAACTACCAGAGAGTAAAACGTAGGAAAAAATTAAACATTTAATCCGAAAATCGCATAAAGAAAACGCCAAGACTGCATTAGCAGTGTACGTATGTACATATATTCCTTATGCTTGTTTTGCCTTTTTGTGAATCTTTAATCCCTTCGATTTTATTTTCAAGTAATTTCTATGTTATTGGGCCTACATGCGCTATGTACATTCCTGTTCTGTTGTCAGCAGGAAGTCTCGCCCTAAAGGCTTATGTGTGCTGATTTGCGAACTTTTGTGTTGTTGTGTGTAGAGTGTAGAGTATGTGTAGTTGCTTAGCCTGCGAAGTTTTTTTGTTTTTTTTTTCGCCTTCTTCTGGTTGTCAGTCGTCGGCACTGACTTTCGCTGACTCTCACTTTGGCCTTAAAATACATGGCTACATACATACAGATGTATGTATACTCATGCACATGTTTAGAAGTACTTCGTTCGGTCGTTGCTTATACGCCATGGTGTGCCAAATTACATAGATATATGTATATATACTACATGCTGGCATTAAAGCATTTCCTTTTCATTATAACCTAAACTTGTTTGATGTTGTCGTAGCTGCATGTTGTTATTGCTGTGTTGTTGTAGCCATATTACTTTTCCCACAGTGTTTGTATACACAAATTTCGTGGTTGTATGTAAGTATTGCTTGTTTGTACTTTTTCATCCTTTCTCATGCAAACTTCTGCCTTTGTTTGTACGCTTTGTTTTTTTTTTTTGTTTTGGGTGTGCTCTATTTTTAAACTCATATTATCTATACACCCGCTGCCCTAACTGCCATTCACCCGCATTTTAGAGACGCAAAATTATTCAAAACTTGTGTTGGGTTTTGTCAAGTGTTATTGTTGCCATTTTCAATTTTCATTTTCCATTTTCATTATTTCCTGACATTTTCCATATATTTATGTATATGTGTGTATAAAGTCGCTGCCATTGACCTAGTACACACTACTATACAAACATGTTTAAAGCACATATAGACGCATATATATGTAAATACAACACATCTGTTTATTTGTATATAATAAGTGGACATTTATACATATAAACATGTGAAAAAAATTAACGCGTTTGTTGCTTCACAGTTGATTTTCACGCAACAACTTCCACTCCGTTACGTTTTCCAAGCTACCAACATAGCACAGCACAGCACATAGTCACCGCACCGCCAGCACATAGCTCAACACGCACCGCTTCTATTGATTTAACAATTTATGATTTTTTTTTTTTTTGGTTTCCTTTTCCGTCACCAAAACCATTTTTCATTTGCACAATTTATGCATGAAGTAGCAAAACAGCTCAACATTTTAATTTTCTTATGCTGCTCATGTAATTTTCCTTGCTACTTTTCTCAAAATATTTTAACATTTTTCACTTTTCTTCACAAATTTACATTAATTTTTCCGCCACTAATTTCCATTATAAACACTCTTTCATTTTATTAGCCTCAAGCCACTTGAGTTTCACTGTATGTGTGTGTGTTTGTGTGCGTGTTGCAAGTATGCTTCTTTCTTCAAAAAAAAAAAAAACACACACACACACACAATTGTATATTTTCTTGTCTTTTATTCTTATTTTGGTTGGTGAATTCGCGCGCGTTTTTACCAACAGCACCCGCACGCCACGAGACAACTTGGCCGATTGAAGGAAGTGCGCTCGCTTCAGTTCAGTTGGCTATTAGGCGCTGTCGGCACTCTCATTTTTTGGTTACACATACGCTCTGTTGGCCGCATATCGCTTAAAAACTTAAAGGATTTGTTGTTTTTACAGTGTCAAACCACATGCCGCTCTCATGGTTACGTGTCAAAAGTTACTGTAACTTTGTATTTGCGCACACTCCAATTGACGCTGTGAGCGTAGCGTATCTCTCTGGCGTTTATGCTTTCATTTTCTGTTCTCTCAATGCAATATTTACATTTGAAGTTGGCTGCAACTGCGTAGGAATCGAATGGCGCACATAATCTGCATTTTTGAAATGAACTGATGTGCGGTAATAATTTGAATTAATTTTGTTTCATTTTATTTTACTTAACTTTTTATTTTTATTCTATGGTTTATTTTTATTATTTTTTTACTATTGTGTTTCTTTTTTAATTTATTATTAAATCATAAAATGAACTAAAAAAATAAAATAAATTATCATAAAATGAAAAATATAAGCTATATAAAATAAAATAAATTAAATAATATAAAAAACAACCCAGAAATACATTTGGGAGGGGTGGATGTTCCCTTCCGAGGGGCGGCCACAATTAGAAATTTTTGGTTAATTTTTTATTTAAATTGATTTTCTATAACTTTTTGGATGCTAGTACGATGCCAGGATTTGAACCCCATCCTTCCGAATGGCAGTACGCAGCAATTTTATTCAATTAGATTTTGCATAAAGTTAAGTTATTTTAATTTAATTTATTAAACGTAATTTTATTTAATTTTCTTCAATTTTAATAATATAATTTAATTTATTTGATTTAGTTTTTTTATTTTATTATAAATTTATTTTTTTTTATTTCAATACATTTAATTCAATTTTATTTACATTTATTTAAGTTTATTTTTTATTTTATTTTGTTTTATTTTAATTTATTTTATTTTAATTTATTTTATTTTATTTTATTTTATTTAATTTTATTTAATTTTATTTAATTTTATTTAATTTAATTTAATTTTATTTAATTTTATTTAATTTAATTTAATTTAATTTAATTTAATTTAATTTAATTTAATTTAATTTTATTATATTTTATTTTATTTTATTTTATTTTATTTTATTTTATTTTATTTTATTTTATTTTATTTTATTTTATTTTATTTTATTTTCTTCATTTCATTTCATTTTATGCGTCTCTTTTGTTTTATTATTTTTGTTTTGATTTATTTTATCTTTTATTTGTGTATTGTAATTAATTTAAAATTTTTTTTTGGGCTTGTTTTATAGTTATACTATCTTTTTTTTTATTTTAACGCATTTTATTCTATTCTATGTAGTTTTTTATATATAGTTTTATTTTATTTATTTCTTTTCCTTTATTTTACTTGATTTATTTTAATTTTATAATTTTTTTTTTTTTAATTTTTTTTATTGTTGTTTTTATTTAATTTTTTCTTTGTTTTTCTATGTTATTTCAATTCTTTTTTTAGTTTGTTTTGTTTTATTTTACTTTAATAATACAAAAATGTACAGGTTCCAAAATGATTATCAAATAACGTTGTTTACTCTCCAAGGCGCATGAGCGATGCGTTGCCTGGGTAACATGGCATTTAGTAGTATAACTAGCTAAAGAACTTATGAAGATTTTTCATTCGAACAAGTAGTACCTAAGTAAATATTTCAGTATGTAGAAATGGTAGAGAGGTTTTGCTCAGCATTAATGCAGTATGAGTAAACAACTCTTTACGCCTTTTTGCTAGTAGAGATATTAAAAACGCCAAACTAGTAAACCAACAGGTTTTCTCCGTATAAGTGGCAATACGAGAGAGTAATAATCGGACTTCAGTCAAAAATTTATTATTTTCATACTACACAAAAAAAGTTTCGAGCTATTAAACGAATTAAAATGAATTATACATAAGATAAGCGAAAAAATGTTAATTTTTAATGTAAGTTAATTTGAGTACTTGCTACTTTGTTTTAGATTAAATCAAAATTTCGTTGCTTTTTTAATGACTAGTCCGAGTTTAGTACGTTTTAGCTCAGTGCAATTCCGGTAAGAAAATTCTTTTCTGACCCGTCAAATCTCTCACTGCAAGACACATATGAATATGTACACATACATGCATGAATGAGTGTATGTGTATAAGTATGTACATCAATATATTGTCAAAAATTACAATACGAAATATTGAATATCTTACATACGTACAAAAACAGGACATACTCGTATCGATAAATGAGAACTTTTTCTACACAATATATACACGTATTGTAAGCAAATTATACATATGTACACATGTATGTAGATGGGAATGTACTCATTTCCAATATATGCTTACTTATAACAATTATAACAATTCTTAACAGTTAAGACAGAAAATAACTATATTTCTCATAAGTCATTTCTAACTTACAAAGATTTTGTATTCAAAAGTGCAATGACACATGCAAGTATGCAACTATTTCAAAGTTTGTCATGAGCGTAACAGCCCTTCTAAGGGCAAATAAACAAAATCACCTGCCCCAAAAACCACCACCAAATAACTCTTGGCCTCATGGGCGATTATTATTTATAATAAATGCTAACCTACATTCATATATTCGCTAGTAACACCTTCATCCAGTCAGTCGATTAGGCAGTACACCGTTGTGCATATTACAAGCTTAATGTAATAGTCGATAAAACAAATAAAATAAAGGACTTTTTGGTTTTCACATCTTTAAAATTGTCAAAAGTATTTTTCATAATTACAAAAAATTTGTAATTTGAATTTGAGTTAACGCTTATACACACACACACACTTCAATTTGCGGAAACTGAAAGCCAACTTTACCGGTTTCTTCAATTTAATTTAAATAAAAATAAGCATAGAAAATACTAACAAAAATTAATACCATAATTTATAATAGATTTCAAATTTATTCGCAATGTCCATGGAATTTTATTCGGATGAAGATAAGTATGCGAATGAGTCCTTTGAAAATGACACAGATGAGATACCGGAAATATCAGAGACGGAAAGTGAAAGCGGCAATGAACCGGCTGTAGTATCATCAAATAGTACCGTAAGTTTATACATAAACACGTGTTCTCTAGATTTTTTTTTGTATATTAATTTCATTTATTTTTCTACGCAGCTCTATGCCTATGCCCGCAGTCGCTTTAATGGGCGTAAGAACTCCTTGCAGAATAAATATGTTGTGCCTTACTATAGTTCGTCTGAGGATGATCAGGATGTCGTGATAAGCGAAACCATAGCCGAAATCAATACAGAGCCAATGTGCATGGATGACGCTATGAAGACACCGAAAATAATTTTGAAATCATCACTAACACGACGCGACAGCTTAGCGCGTATGAGCGGTCGGCATAGAAAATTATCTCTTGAGCCATTATCAATTGTGGAGATACCAAATAGTGCTTCAAATGCTAGTGACAATGTCGAAGAGACTGCCGGTGAAATATCGGAACATGGTACCGACGATGACGATGACGATGTTGAAGAGGAGGAAGAAAAAGCAAAATCTGATGTAGAACATGAAAATGATGCCGAACTTTTAAAGATATTTAATAATTTGACCTGTGTTCAAAGTGATAAACCATTGACGACACTCCCTCTAGCAGAGCGAGAGGAAACAACACCAACAGCCGCAATACCAAGTAGTTTGAACCAAAATACTGTGCCGACGATTCACGAGGATGAGCCCTACGTAGAGTTGCAAATGAAAATCAATGATCTGAATAAAGCATCCACAGAGAAACCTCAAACAGTTGAGGTACACTTTTCCGAACCCAACATTGGCAGTGAATGTCTAACGGAAGATATTGAACATGAACTCGTCGAATATGAACCAAGTATAGATGTGAATATCACAAGTGAAACACCAACCAGTTTCAATTCAGATGATTACACTTTTCATTTGAATTTCCTACGCGGAAATAGTTCAAACGAGAGATTTAAGTAGGTTTTTTTTTATCATAAATAATAATAGTTTATGCCATTTATTTAGCATGCATTGCAAATTTTTGTAGAATTCGTTCAAATCAACGCAAAAGCTGGAGCTTTTCTAATGACCGTATGCGCGAGATCGAGCGACACAATCATATATTGCTACGAAAAATACTCTCACAGAAGCCTACGTACCATTTGGCTACACCAAAGCCAACAAAGGTCAGTTATAAGTCAGTTTATTTAAATTCATACGGTTTGTAATCATTTCACTAATTATAAAATCTGATTTCTTTCACATCCAAAACACAGTTTGCTACGTTGCCTTCAACCTCGCGTACCACTAGTGCAGCTATCAACCGGAAAAAGAAACAACGACAGATTGATCTTGATAATCAAGGACTCAAGCGACGCATCGAGGCTATAACACTTCGCCGACCAACGCTACAACATTTAAATTAATTTTAATATCAGGCATACACATTTATTTTTCCATTATTATTTCAATCTAAATGTCGAACACTATAAAAAATAAATATGTATATATTTTGGTCATTTAAACATTGCTGGCAAAGTACATTTTTTATTTAGTTTATAACACTAGTAGTTAAATATTCATGAGCGATAGATAATCAAAAAAGAACTAGACAATATAATTTCATCGCTCAATAGTCTTAATGTATATATATTAAAATTTCATAAATGCTGTTTCTTTAAATCTAACTACAAAAAATATTATTATTCGATTGTTTTAACATCTTCCTTTGCAGTTTCCGATTTTGTCAACTCTTCTGTTTTATTTAAAAATGTTTCGCCTAGAGCCTTAATGGCTTTGAAAGCTGCTTCGCCATTCCTTTCTTTGAATTCTATTTCGTTTTTCATTTTGATCTGCTCACGTTTCTCCAGCTCTCGGTAAATAACTTGACCAATCTAAATATTAACGAAAGAAAAATATAGAAAAATGGTTGGAAAGGCAAAATATTTTACTACAATTACGCATGTACTTACATAGACATCAATGGCTGCGTACAATAATTGATTTTGGTCGAGTGGAACAACATGCCATTTACTCATGCGAACTTTTTTATTCTTGTCCACAGCTTGTTCAACCTAAACAATATTTGTTTTACACATAATTTTGAGTAAAATTTATGCACACTTACAATGAAATTTGCTAAACGCTCCAGACTCCAGCGTCCGCCAGTTTGACACACCTGATTACACCAAACCCCCAAGTCAACACACTTCTCAATAAGATGCTCTGCATTCACTTCTGGAAAATCACGAGCCAGCTTACGAAAGTCACTATAATAAGAAAAAATAAATAAATTTAATTTACATAGTTCGTCAGAAGAAGCATAAATATTTCATTTCATTCACTTTTTTATATTAACGCCATGCAAACGAACTTTGGGATGCTTCAGCAAAGCCATCAGCGCAGCTGGCAGGCGGTTCAAATTGGTCAATTGGAATACATAACAACTATGCTCCTCCACGCAAATTTGTATGACAGCAGATTTACCAGGTCCAGTTTGAAATGAGAAAGGCCATTCCATGTCAAAAGCCATGGGCACTAAGTCAACGTGTACTTGCTTTTCTACCCACTGCCTGTGGTGAATAATGAGAGACAATACATTATCATCAAAATTCAGTACTATAATCAATAGTGATTTTACTTAGAAGCTACCTACATAATCAAATCAGAAGCTTCAGCTATTTCATGACCTTGCGTATAATAATGGATGGAGCCTTTAAAATTTATAAATGGAAGTTTTCTTTTAATTTCTATTTCTTCTGGTATAGCGATTTCATCCTCGGCCATTGAGCGTGTATTTCGTGTCAAGCGCGCACTGCATCGTTTGGGCGGATTATCATCCAGTAAAACATTTTCTTTACCTTTGGGCACTACCGCGGCATCCTGAAAGCACGAAATTTACGAGTAAATAAAGTAAGGCTAGTTGGTGAAATATAATATATTTTTACCTCATCTTGATTTAGCTTTCTGCGTCGAGTACTCATTGTATTATTAATTATGGTTGTTAAATTAGTGGAGTTGAGTTTTTTTATATTCGTAGTCAATATAGAAATTGTAACAAACAAACCACTTAGCGAAAACAAACAAACAGAATTATTTCTGCAAAACAACTGTCCCAATGTGAGTTTTTGGCGCTAAAGAATTCAGTGTTGAAAAACTATAGTGATTTTAAATCAACTGTTCTCATAATAAAACTAGTTTTTGCTTTTAGAATATATATAGATATATGGAAATTAAGTATTAGTAAATATATATTTATTGTTCGGTTAACTTTGACATATCATTTCATATCTCTAATATATGTATAGTTTTTCAAAAATGTTGAACCTGTAACACTGCGCTGGGAACAGTTTTTTTGAGAAATCAACCCTATGGCATAAACAGCTGCTTTGTTCATCTAACCTCAAATAACTATATAAATAACCGGCTAAAAGTTCATCCAGTTTGATTTGTTTTCGAAATTGTTTTACAGAAAATATTTAGAGACAAATTTTTATTAATATGGATACAAGTGTAAATACGTTCTTCGTTTCGGAGAAAATATCAAAAATTCGGTGGCTGCCCGGTGATCTGCAAGCTAACGAACGTTTCTTAACTGGCACCTGGGATATGCCAGCAAACTTTGTGCGTCTTTGGCGTTTGCAACAAAATCAATATGCTGATGACTATAATGAGTTTGTTCCACGCTGCAGTGATAAACAAGAATTCAATGGCGACATAACTGGTCTAGAATTCGTTGACACGGATTTGGCCGCTGTCAGTTGTGCTGATGGTATGTATGCTGTTAAGTTGAATATGTATAACAAATATATTAGCATAGCGATTTAAATAAATAATATTTTGGCAGGTCGTTTAACTATATTACAAGTCAATCGCGCTGTAGACGAGGACAGCTTAGAAGAAAAAGCTCAAAGTGAAATCTTGCATAAGTTCAACGCCAGTGGTGACTCAGCACCATGCACCGGTATATCAGTATATGAAAGGGATATTGCTACAGTCGGTGAAGATGGCTATTTGAATGTTGTCGATGCTAATGATGTGCATAAAGTACGCCGAAGCATTGAGGCAGATAGTATAGCGCTCACTGCAGTAAAATATGTAAATCCACATGAGGTACTTACAGCCAATCGTATGGGTGTTATACGTATGTTCGATATACGTGCCGCTGTCGATGAAACTGCTGTCACTGCATTCATGACGTCATGTGAAGAAGAGAAACGTTCCAATTATGTATCAGCACTCACATCGCATCCCACCCAACCACATATCGTATTGGCCGGCTCTGAGGAAGGCTCCATAACCGTATGGGACCTACGGCAACCCGGCTTTCCAGCTTCATATTTAAGTGCACACAACAGCGCAATAACTGAAATTGGTTTCCATCATAGAGAACCTTCAAAGCTTTACACGGCTTCTGAAGGTGGTGAACTATGGCTGTGGATGCAACAATCGACTATGAATATAACAACTATGGAAAATAAAACAAGTGAAAACGTAAATCCTTGGTTGAACGGTGAGCGCGCAAAGAACAGGATCAATGTCACATGCCTAATTTCCAATTTACGTAAATCTATTAATACATTTGATGCAAGTGGCTCGAAGATCATATGTGGCAGCGATAGTGAAGCCATTTATGTTATTGATAGTGTATATTAAATGTATTGTTTAATTTAAGTATTTGGAATAAAGTAAAATTATTTTTTCTTATTTCTGTATTTTTATTATGTGAAACTTTTGTATATAACCATGTACAATACATTTATTATTTAAATATACAGAGATGGGAATGGAAATGCTTGTTTTTCCTTAGTTGAGACAACAACCTTGAACGGAAACGGAAAAGAAAAAACAATGCTTTGCTACCGGTGCTAATTGTTTACAGGGTGTCAAAGTAATTTTTTTCGAATTGCCTTGATGTGCAAGGAGTGGTTTATTTGTATCCCCACGGAACGACTAGAGGTATTGAGCTGATTTTTTTAAATAATTTTGAAATTAAGTTTCTTAAATTTAGAAGGTCTTCCTTCAAACTGTATTTATTTATACCTGCTTATAGCTGTTAAGGAGAATATCGTAGTCAAACTTCTACCATCTGGCGCTAGCCACACAAAAGGCTTCAAGAACATTGCTGTCGTTCATTCATATATCCCTCTGAGACGGACCGTCATTTGTATAAGAATGTGCCCGATGATAATTTCAAAATACCTTGTTTAGTATTAAGTGAAGTGGAACCAAAATAAAATGGACTTTTGTAATTTGGAAAAACATAAAAGTGGAAAAACCAAATTGTGTGAGACTTAATTTCCAAAAAAGGCCTTAAATGTTTTGTGGCTGGCGGAACAATTGTCATGTAGGCGGGCAAATATTGCAACTCATTTACGCCAATCAAAACGTGCATATGTATACATATGTATGCAGATATACATTTGAATTGTGAATTTATATTCATGCGTTCATTTCCACGCAACAATGATTTTGTCATAGTCCATGAATTGTCTTCTCGGTCTTGCCATGCTCCAGGTTGAACAATGAAAAGCTTTACGGGCATACAATCTGCAATTTGTGGTCAATACGGGCAATGCCAATTAAATTAAATCAACAAATGTGAACTGCCGCCGCTTACCTGTTGGGAACATTGAAGGTACAAAATTACCATGTGTAATTAAATTATTCTTACATTTACGAAGCACAATTAAAAAGGTGCGAAACAAAATGATAATCCAGCAGGAGAATGAAAAATGTCACAAATTTATTTGCTGGTTGGCGGGAAAAATGTATTTCCATTATACTGTATGTATATAAATTGGCATATACATACATACAAAGGTCAAAAATTTGGAGTCCGGGTTCTCCTTCTTCCCGCCGGTCGGGTCTATTTATCGAAGCGACGCAGATTTTTATTCTGCCAAGGACTGTTTCGCACGGAGCTTTCCCCAAAAACTGCTTTGGGTGAATATTTTGCGGCTATCACAACAATAACAACCGATTCTTTAGATAGAAGAGTTGTTAACAACCATAAGTGGAAAAAGTGGGAGGAGCACTTAAGGTCCTGTAATCTCTCCACTTTGGGGCAACCAAGCTCTAGGCTACAGTCAAATCGTTGTCTACCCCGACGAGACGCGATGACCGAGTGGAAATTTCATTCGGTGATGCTATTGTAAAACATCTTGGACCAGAGGGAGTAGACTTCCTCACCAAGGTCCTCAACACAGGAGAATATTATCGGCCGATAACTCTTCTCTCCCCAGTAGCGAAGACACTTGATAGTCAATGGCCTTAACCAAAACTGACCCTGCGCGCGAACTGTCCTGGTAGCACGCAGATGAATAAGTTACAGGTTTGTGAGAATACTGCCCGAAGGATCACATCCTGATGTCGCCGAAGGATCACATGGAACAGCGAACCATCTATGCTGCGAGTTGAGGAGCATAATGGTTTGATGTTGAATCGGTTCCTATTGGGATTTTACCGTAGGGAGCATTTGTAACAACCGCTGGAGAGGACGGTGTACAGACAAGCACTAATCGTCATTCACCAGGAGTCAGTCAACACCTTCAAAGACTCCCTTCTCGTGAATAGAGTACTCGGAGATATACCACCACCTATCACAGACAACGAGCTCGAGCTGACTCGAGCCAACGCGCGTGAAACTGGCACAACTTAGGTCTGGATATTTTCGCAGATTAAGCTCTTACCTATTACCCCAACATACACAGCGTATGTATGTGGAGAATCTCCACACACACTAACCCCCTCTTCACATACCTCCTTAAGCCGACACATTGAACACCCCTCTCTCTGTTCCGATCCCGGTCCCGTCGAAACAGCACGTTTCCAGAACCTCCCGTTAGATGACCTTGGTGAATTAGATTGATTGTGAACCTGTTTCGGATTCTCCATCCCCGGGTGTTGCATTTTCACATTACCATTCAGCAGGCTGGAGAAATGTTCCCTTCATATAGCTATATGGTCACCAGATTTCCTCATTGATTCCTATATGATTATGATCCGATCTTGAAACCAACGGCTAGTCAGCGCATCTTTTAATAGAATATTCGAGCGCCACCCTTGTTTGCCAGCTTCTCAAGCTCTTAACACTCACGCATTTCGGACTCTTTCCTTTTCCGTCTGCAAGTGTGTCTCGTTTCCTCTTGGCTCTCGCAGGCGTTGTGGTCGATCGCAAGGGTAGTCAAACTTCTACCATCTGGCGCTAGCCACACAAAAGGCTTCAAGAACATTGCTGTCGTTCATTCATATATCCCTCTGAGACGGACCGTCATTTGNAAAGAAGAATATTATCGGCCGATAACTCTTCTCTCCCCAGTAGCGAACATACTTGATAGTCAATGGCCTTAACCAAAACTGACCCCGCGCGCGAACTGTCCTGGTAGCACTGGATCGGTCAAAAGCTTTCGTCGCCGTCAACCATTCAGTGCTACTATCGGTCATTGAGGCATCCTCATTACCGCCGGGGTTGCAGAGGTGGATCATGGGCTACCTGATTGGTCGACAATCATTGGTAATATTTTGAGGTGATTCATCGGAACCGAGGAAACTTAAACAAGCAGTTACGCAAGGAAAACCAAACAAGGGGTTTCCCACTATTGTTTAATTGCTACATTTCGAAACTCTCTCCTTCACCTCAAGGAGTTTCCGTAACCTCAGATGCCGATGATTGCACGATATTGGCGCCTGGCCAGGATATTGATAATCTTTGTTCGAATGTAAACTGCTATCTGCTTGCGACTACAAAGCAATCGGCCGGCCTGTCGTATTCTGCACCGACAGGTTTGTCAGAACACTGCCCTCAGGACCGCGGCAGGAAACCTCCTGATGTCGCCGAAGGATCACTTGTACAGCGAAGCCTATGTGCTGCGAGTTGAGTGGCATAATGCTTTGATGTTGATGCGGTTCCTATTGGGATGTTACCGTAGGGAGCATGTGTAACAACCGCTGGACAGCACGGCATACAGACAAGCACTGAACGCCATTCACCAGTAGTTAGTCAACACTTTCAAAGACTCCCTTCTCTTGAATAGAGTACTCGGAGATAAACCACCACCTATCACAGACAACGAGCTCGAGCTGACTCGAGCCGACCCGCGTGAAACTGGCACAACTTAGGTCTGGATATTTTCGCAGGATAAGCTCCTACCTATCCAGACTCGACCCCAACATACACAACGCATGTATGTGGAGAATCTCCACACACACTAACCCCCTCTTCACATACCTCCTTAAGCCGACACATTGAACACCCCTCTCTCTCTGTTCCGATCCCGGTCCCGTCGAAACAGCACGTTTCCTGAACCTCCCGTTAGATGACCTCGGTGAATTAGATTGATTGTGAACCTGTTTCGGATTCTCCATCCCCGGGTGTTGCATTTTCACATTACCATTCAGCAGGCTAAAGAAGTGTTCCCTCCATATAGCTAGTTGGTCACCAGATTTCTCCATAAATTCCCATATGATTATGCTCCGATCTTGAAACCAACGGCTGGTAAGCGCATCTTTTCATAGAATTTTCGAGCGCTACCCTTGTCTGCCAGCTTCTCAAGCTCCTAACACTCACGCATTTCGGACTCTTTCCTTTTCCGTCTGCAAATGTGTCTCGTTTCCTCTTAGTTCTCGCAGGCGTTGTGGTCAATCGCAAGGTCGCGAGGTAAGCAGTCTGTTTTCTTTCCACTGCAGTTCGAAAGGCAGAGAGTTTGAGATGACGTTCCACAGCTCTCTTGTATAGAGAGAGAGAGAGCTTCCTTGTGTTTGCTTATGGGCGTCCTTTGATACACAGAGACGAGTGCGCATCTTCGCTACAACAAGATAGTGATTCGAGGCTATGTTGGATCCTCAGAGCGCACACACATGAAGAACATTGGAGACGTGTCTTCCGATCACCACACATGGTGATGAAATTTCAAGCACGGACTGCCTAAGCTAATTGAGCTTTTTGAATCTTAGCTCCATTGAAGGAAGAAGTGAACTTTGTCTATTTTTTATAAAAATATTTATTTCTTATATAAAAAAATTTTGCATTTAATAATTAATAAAAATACCTATTCACAATATAGGTATATATGTATGTACATAGCACGTAAATATATTCACAGCAATTAAATAAACGAGTATGTAAAGAGAGAGTTCGTAGCTCACGCTAAATAATTTCTAATTTCAATGCAACTCTGAGTGATATGTTTAATGGTAAGTTTTTTTTTAGCTCTGTTCGTTGAGCTGATGGGCAGTAACAGCGTTCGGTGAGTCAAAAAGTCGGTAAAATTTGCTCCGAGAAAGTGCAATTTTGACATTTCTCACTGAACAGATCTCCTCATTTGCGGCATTCGATCAGCTGTTGCCATTTTCAAATCGAAAATTTGATTTTTTGACGTATTTATTTGCAGTTGATAATGAACCTTTCAAACCCGTGAGAATAAATACTCGTACACTGACTTAAAAGACGATGTTATACTATTGTTGCGTATGGCTTGGAAATCTCATCATCCTGGTGTAGTAAGCAGGGGCGCGTAAACGGCTGAGTAATATCGTTGATCCATACATTAGCGACTGAAGGAAGAAATAAAATAAAAAAAATTGTTATTGTTGTTATTTGAAGTTTTCTCCAGCATACAACAGCCATAATAATAATATGCTTTCAATGTACTCACTCCACTTGGAACCCTTCAACACCGGACACGCGGCATGTCTCGTACGATAATCGCCCTCCAATGTTCGATGCAAATTATACCAGAAGAGTACATTGCCCTTTTTGGGCTTAATGGCGAATTTCAGGTTTGGAAAGGCGGTAGCGCCACCCTGTTCCACTTCCGACAGCTGAAGAGTGAAACAGAAAAATGCATAAGAAATAATTTTAGAACACACACACACAGACACCCACTTACATAAAATATAGCAGTCGCAATGCGATTACCTAAACCCTCGGGCATACGTTCGGTGTCCTAAAAGCATACAAATAAATTACAAAAAAAAAAACACTCGCTAAAGTCAATGCAACAGTCTTGCAGCAGAACGCCATCCACGCCATCCCATACCACAATTTAGAATTGCTTACCAAATAAAAGTCCCAATGCGGTTCATAGTGTCCGCCCAGACCATAATTGGCTACCTGCAATTTTTCGCAGCGCGTCACATCGAGCCCCGTAATATCGTGCAAATCACGCAACATGCCCAACATATAATCGTGCTCCTGATAGCCCAGCCATGCATTCTTGCTAATGCGAAAGTCGGTAGCCTTGGACAGAGTCACCACATCGCGTACAGTGGAGCGTTGCATGCGTGGCTCGGCCATGTATTTAATGGTAGCAATCTTAGTGTCGTCAATAAAATCGTGAAATGTCACCACCAGCGGATCTAGGCTGTGTTCCTCCAGTTTTAATGGGGCGATAAGACGATAAGGATGATTATTGGTTTCGTAGCGACAACGTAGTGGACGTAATTGTGTGGGTGAGGCGGTGATTTCGCCACGACATACTTTCTTATACGTTTCAAATTCCTCGGTTTGCTGCGTGCGTCAAATGAAAGTGTAAATAAGCGAATGTGTTAAGCTTAGATGTACATAAGTGCATGGCGAGACTCGACTTACGTGGTAGTAGGAGGGATTTGTGGTTAGTGTCGGTTTTCGTTCACCGACTGGCGTGAGTATTGTGTTTTTCACATATTTGGCTGTTGATCGCGTGGGGTCGAGACTTAAGACATCATCAGAGAGTTTGAGTGCAGTTTCCAGGTCACCTGTAAAAATGTTGACACATTAATTGTTCGCTTAAAGAAACCATATTACTGACTCACCTAAATTGAGTAGACTTTTAGCCACGTCCTCCACATAATCGAACGTGTGTGGATCTCTGTAATAGGGTTCGCGGCTAAGGCGTTGCATGGACTCCTTCAACCACATTTTTGTATGATTGTACTCTTCTAAATGGAACAATTGCTTGCCAAGAACGAAACAATCTTGCCAAGTCATGCTGGTACTGAAAAGTTAGTTATAAGAGCAAAGATAGGAAATCCTTCAAATTAAACTTGTGTTCACTTTAGATGAGAGAAAAGTAAAACCAGAGTGGATGAAGGCTGAGATGTAATCTCTGGAAACATCCGTGCTGAGTTCTGAAAGTATTTGCTTTCAGTTTTGAAAGAAACCCCTATGAGCTTAGGTAGAGCTTTTCTTGTACTCTGAAAGCTCCAATGGTCACTTTTTATCTGTTAATCAGTTAGCTTTGACTTTGTTTTTTCTAGAGTCACTCTGACCGAGAATATCTAGAGTTCTCATATCGAGCGACTTATAGAATAAAAAGGGATACAAGCTTAGCTTGTAGTATGTAGGTTATACTGAGCTTTCTAGTAATCTGAAACAGCTTCGCAAAGAATTTGTGTAAGCTAACTGAGCTAAAGCTTTGACAAAAACGCAAATTATGTCAGAAAGATTTTCACTGAGCTCCGTATTGGAAGAGGAGTTGGTTAAAGAAAGTACATACTGACTCAAGATTGCAGAACGAGATCACGTGTAACGTGACCAATCAGCTATGGCCGAAGCCGGACGCGAAAAAATTCAAGGAATGGGTTATCATTCTAATGATTTCTGCTGCAGCTGCAGGGATGAAGAAGAGGAGGAGACCATCGAGTACTACCTCTTCCACTGTCCAGCCTTGACATCCGCGCTACACAAGTTTCTTGGGAAACACTTCTTCGACTGTCTCTCTGAGTTGGCCTCAATGAGCTTTGGAAATCTCGTTGCCTTTATAAGGCACACAAACTGGTTCGATCATCTGAGAAGGTGAAAGCAAGAGCCTCAGCGGTATCCCAATGGGCCTATTGGTCTAAGTGTGCTGGCAGCAGCAGCCGCATCAACTCAACTCACTCTCGCCGAAATCTGGAGAGCTTTTCGTGTGGTAACAATGTCTTTATAATTTTCACTCCTTTTTGTTGCAAACGACATACTTATTATTTGTGCTCCCTGAAATGGTCGGCTTGTAATGAGTTTACGGTTAAGCGGCTTCAAGTTTTGTATTGAACTCTAGATCTTGAGTGACCCCTTCAAATAAGTAAATACTCCCAGTTACTTTCCTCTACCATACCCATATTTAACACCATTCAGGAAACCGCCAGCAATTTGCGTCGTATCCAAATGATAAGTTTCCTGTAGACGCGCCAAAGCCGCTGCGGATGCTCGAAAATCTTCTGTGCTGGGGAAACTTAGTGTTTCTCGATACTCGTTCATTTGCCGCAGGAAGGCTAAAATATATGATGAGTGTTCAGTCGCATGTTGGACGTAGAACCTTATTAATTTTAACTACTCACTTTGAGCCGCCTCATCGGACTGCACTCGCTCCTCATATATCGTCCAGTCATTGGTGAGACGTTTCATCAGACGATAGACATTAACCGGGTTTGTTAAGTAATTTTCGGCATTGCGCGCAGCCTGCGCATATTCCATCTCAATGCGATGCAATTCACTGGAATGAAGAAATTTTTAAATAATTACTTAATTGTCAAAAGATAACTTCTTTATGGCAGTCTCGCGATTGTTCTGGGACGATTTGGCTAGAATCTCTCGAAATCTGACGGGGAATGAATTGAATGCAAAAGGACAAGCAGAAAGACAGACAGGGTTAGATCTACTCAGCCACATTTACCTCATTACTTCATACTGTGAACGTTAGTTAAGAACAATTTGGAAAATTAAAGACCGACTGGTCTCTTTAAGGTATTGCTGGTACCTGGACCAACGAGTAAAGAAATGTTCGGATCAAGCTAAATGTGTGAAAGGAACAATGTATATAGATGTCGTCTCCATAGGTATTGTGGTTATATCACTTCAGTGGAACGCCTCGAAGTAAGCTCGGAGTGCAGGTCTTCCTCTACTTCCATCAGGGGGTACTGTTGCCCATTCGGCCGACGTGGCTTAGTCAACCTAGCCATTGCCTCTTAATTCTGAACTATGTTCATGCCGTCGTGTATCTCGTAAGCTTATCGTCTTCGGAATTCACACTGCCAATGTGCAAAGCTTTCTCTTGAACACTCCTTTTTTTGTTTAAGCTTCCGGAATATCGTGAGACGGGAATGATGTTCGTCGAGAGTGCACTTTTCTTTTCAATGGTCCACAGAGTCCAAAGTGATACCTGTTGCCAATACTGGCTCGGCGTTGGATATTCAAGCTGACATTGTCCCAACTTATGCTAGTTTCCAGACAGATCAAACATTCAATTTATGACTGGCAATAGTGACGTGAAAGGCATGATGAGAAGGCGCTGACTGGGTTATCTTGGTTTCCATGTCACTGTTGACAGTCAGAACTTTTGCTGGTATAACGCTTAAAACGTTTGTTAGATGTTAGATGTCGTTGTTCTATTTGTTTTCTCCAGAATTAGGTTGTAGAAACCACACGAAAGAGAGTCATGTCGTCTGACGTCTCGTTTGATAGCAAACGGTTCGGTACTCAACACTTTCAAAGCTTTTAGAGTCAGTTTACAAAGTTATAAGTTCAGTGGGTATATTAAATATAGTCAGACATGGCTGCTGCTCCTCTTCGTGCTATCAAAGTCAGCTTTAAAGCAGACGAAGAGGTGGTGTGTGTCGATTCTTCTCTCATCGACCTTTTCCAGGATTTGGCGCATGATGAGTATCTGGTCAATGGTAGATTTGCTATGTCTGAAACCACATTCTTGAGATCCAAACAGTTTATGTTCTAGTGGACTTTAATCTCTCATACAATGTGCCCGATAGCATCTTATAAGCGGAAGTTCATCTCACGATAATTGGCGCAATTGCTGTGTAACTCTTACTATAAATTGATTCTTATCGGCAGCATTGCTTTCAGCCAACCATATGCTGCTAAGAAGCTGATGTATGCAGTTCTTCCCCAACAAAGCTTTAAGAGCTCAGCAGGTAAAGCCATTAGCTCCTGCAGCTTTGTTATTTTCAAACGTGCAATTCGAACTTTATCATAGTCGAGTGATGGAACGTCTTTATCATTTGACATCGATTGGGGTTACGGGTTCATCATCTCCAGGTATTTCATCAGTGCAAATGCAGGCTGGAGAAGTGTTCCCTCCATGTGCTTAATACACATATAACGTCAGTCACCAGATCCCCTTTCTCAGTTTGTAAGGGCGAGCCTCCGCTTTTGAAACCTTTTGAAATTCGCTTAATTTTTTTTGTAAAATTTTCGGGTGTTTCCCCCTTTGGGCAAGTTCTCAAGGTCTTCATACTCATGCAAACTTTCTTTCTTCTGATAGATTTGTAGTCTCGCTTTTCTCTTCAACTATCGATATTCCACACTTATGCCTTAAAAAATTTAATCATAATTATGTTTGCCCCACCTACAGCTTTTTTTATGTAGGTTAATCACCCAAGAGCTTACTCATAAATCGTTTAGTCAATGAACTGTGTAAAAAATACATTGGCTCTCCAACTGCTTACTGCACAGCAAAAGCAAAGAATGTATTGTAAGTTCTCTGGTAAACTAATAACCATTGACTCTCTCTCTCTCTTTGCGCTGTATCTCTTCTCCAGATACGTCAACTTGAACTTCTCAGCTAGAGTCAGCAAATTTGTTTTTGTTTTTATTTTTCCTCTACGACTTCTTATCAATTAACATAAACTTGTTGTCTATCAATTTTTGAACGCGCCGACGATTATTTTTTCAGCGCCTCACACGGTGTAGCCGCAGCGCTTCCTCGGCAGCTGTGCTTCCTAACAAGATTTTAGGCTTTTAAGATATTCGCAAACGTGCCGACCGACGGTCAAGCAGCAACAGCGGACAACTTATTAAAAATTTAAATTTTACTATTCAAACGTAATGATTGCCCGTGTTTAACGTCAATGTTACCGGTTTTAAGAAGACTTCATTTGATATTCATTTCTCTGTTTTTAATTTAAGTTTTGTTTGTCTCTTTGTGTTTCGCATTGGTTGAGCGAGTTTTATTGTGCGGTTGATCACTGAGGCGGCTCATCGTTTGGTCTTGATCATTGCGAACTTCATTAATATCTACATACATACGTAGAGTCATGTAGATGTGGTACATGGGCGTAAAGGGAAAGTGTTATATAAGCGCAAGGGTTTTTGAAGTCTCCGGGTCCGTCTTTCGTTTATCTTTCTGTGTCCTAAACAATTGGATATTGTTGTATGGTTGGTTGAAGTGGCTGCCGGCCATTAGCTCGCCTAGGCCCCATTTGCAAAGCTAAGCAATGACCGCATCTTAGCCCTCGCTATGTCGCTCAGGTCGCAAAAGGTTACTGCCCCTAGAGACTTTGGTCTACTACCCCAAAGTGCGGGGCATTCGAAAAGGAAGTGCCTTACAGCTTCTGGTGATTCTTTCTGTCTGCGACTTCTGCAGAAATCATTAGATGACACGTACAATCTCTCTGCGTGCATGCCCCATAAGATATGTTCTGCAAGGAGACCTATAAATGTAGACATATTCTTCCTATTTAGCTCGATAAGGTCACGTGGCTTTCTACTTTTCCATTCTGATCATATTGCGCTGGCCGCAATACATGTGTTGAGACTTCTCCATCTTAAGTTACTCTCTCTTATATTGGAAGCGAAGTGATTTACATAGCAAGCTCGCCCACCCTCTTATGACCCGGGACCCATACCNCTAGTTTCCAGACAGATCAAACATTCAATTTATGACTGGCAATAGTGACGTGAAAGGCATGATGAGAAGGCGCTGACTGGGTTATCTTGGTTTCCATGTCACTGTTGACAGTCAGAACTTTTGCTGGTATAACGCTTAAAACGTTTGTTAGATGTTAGATGTCGTTGTTCTATTTGTTTTCTCCAGAATTAGGTTGTAGAAACCACACGAAAGAGAGTCATGTCGTCTGACGTCTCGTTTGATAGCAAACGGTTCGGTACTCAACACTTTCAAAGCTTTTAGAGTCAGTTTACAAAGTTATAAGTTCAGTGGGTATATTAAATATAGTCAGACATGGCTGCTGCTCCTCTTCGTGCTATCAAAGTCAGCTTTAAAGCAGACGAAGAGGTGGTGTGTGTCGATTCTTCTCTCATCGACCTTTTCCAGGATTTGGCGCATGATGAGTATCTGGTCAATGGTAGATTTGCTATGTCTGAAACCACATTCTTGAGATCCAAACAGTTTATGTTCTAGTGGACTTTAATCTCTCATACAATGTGCCCGATAGCATCTTATAAGCGGAAGTTCATCTCACGATAATTGGCGCAATTGCTGTGTAACTCTTACTATAAATTGATTCTTATCGGCAGCATTGCTTTCAGCCAACCATATGCTGCTAAGAAGCTGATGTATGCAGTTCTTCCCCAACAAAGCTTTAAGAGCTCAGCAGGTAAAGCCATTAGCTCCTGCAGCTTTGTTATTTTCAAACGTGCAATTCGAACTTTATCATAGTCGAGTGATGGAACGTCTTTATCATTTGACATCGATTGGGGTTACGGGTTCATCATCTCCAGGTATTTCATCAGTGCAAATGCAGGCTGGAGAAGTGTTCCCTCCATGTGCTTAATACACATATAACGTCAGTCACCAGATCCCCTTTCTCAGTTTGTAAGGGCGAGCCTCCGCTTTTGAAACCTTTTGAAATTCGCTTAATTTTTTTTGTAAAATTTTCGGGTGTTTCCCCCTTTGGGCAAGTTCTCAAGGTCTTCATACTCATGCAAACTTTCTTTCTTCTGATAGATTTGTAGTCTCGCTTTTCTCTTCAACTATCGATATTCCACACTTATGCCTTAAAAAATTTAATCATAATTATGTTTGCCCCACCTACAGCTTTTTTTATGTTGGTTAATCACCCAAAGCTTACTCATTAATCGTTTAGTCAATGAACTGTGTAAAAAATACGTTGGCTCTCCAACTGCTTACTGCACAGCAAAAGCAAAGAATGTATTGTAAGTTCTCTGGTAAACTAAAAAGCATTGACTCTCTCTCTCTCTCTTTGCGCTGTATCTCTTCTCCAGATACGTCAACTTGAACTTCTCAGCTAGAGTCAGCAAATTTGTTTTTGTTTTTATTTTTCCTCTACGACTTCTTATCAATTAACATAAACTTGTTGTCTATCAATTTTTGAACGCGCCGACGATTATTTTTTCAGCGCCTCACACGGTGTAGCCGCAGCGCTTCCTCGGCAGCTGTGCTTCCTAACAAGATTTTAGGCTTTTAAGATATTCGCAAACGTGCCGACCGACGGTCAAGCAGCAACAGCGGACAACTTATTAAAAATTTAAATTTTACTATTCAAACGTAATGATTGCCCGTGTTTAACGTCAATGTTACCGGTTTTAAGAAGACTTCATTTGATATTCATTTCTCTGTTTTTAATTTAAGTTTTGTTTGTCTCTTTGTGTTTCGCATTGGTTGAGCGAGTTTTATTGTGCGGTTGATCACTGAGGCGGCTCATCGTTTGGTCTTGATCATTGCGAACTTCATTAATATCTACATACATACGTAGAGTCATGTAGATGTGGTACATGGGCGTAAAGGGAAAGTGTTATATAAGCGCAAGGGTTTTTGAAGTCTCCGGGTACGTCTTTCGTTTATCTTTCTGTGTCCTACACAATTGGATATGGTTGTTTGGTTGGTTGAAGTGGCTGCCGGCCATTGGCTCGCCTAGGCTCCAAGCGGACCCATTGCGATACCACTGAGGATGCCAAAGACACTCCCCTGCTAAGCGAACCAGTGCGTAGAGTTTGCAAAGCTGAACAATTACCGCATCTTAGCCCCCGCTATGTCGCTCAGGTCACCAAAGATTACTGCCCCTAGGGACTTCGGTCTACTACCCCAAAGTGCTGGGCATTCGCAAAGGAAGTGCCTTACAGCTTCCGGTGATTCTTTCTGTCTGCAACTTCTGCAGAAATCATTAGATGACACGTACAATCTCTCTGCGTGCATGCCCCGTAAGATATGTTCTGTAAGGAGACCTATAAATGTACACATATCCTTCCTATTTAGCTCGACAAGGTCACGTGACTTTCTACTTTTCCATTCTGATCATATTGCGCTGGCCGCAATACATGTGTTGAGACTTCTCCATCTTAAGTTACTCTCTCTTATATTGAGCTAAAAAGTGGAAAGCGGCATGCTCAAACTCTGCCATGATGGCGAAAGTGGAAGCGAAGGGATTTACCTTGCATTCTCGCCCACCCTGTTATGACCCGGGACCCATACCCGGTTCCCGCATGCAGTCTTACATACATATGGAATAAAATTTTTGACTCTGTACATACCTTCACCGATGGTACTTCTAGAAGTACAGTAGAGAGAGTGAACGGAATATTACGCATAAGATCACTTCGGATCAAGCTGTTCAAATTGACTATGTTAAGATTATGAACCAGTTCTTACATAGAGGCTAGTGAGGCTGGTGACTGAAGTTTATATGACCGTTAAGGCAGTACAGGTTTTTAAGTTTAATCACCTTATAGCTTTTATTTCCATCATATTCACGGACCCAGGATTGTAGATATCTCTTTTTCTTTTATCGTGTGCTGAAGACATTTGATTGCCGGCCGAGTTTTTCAAATACGGCTTCCTTACGCTGGCCAGGTTATGTGGTCCGGTTGGATAAAAATACTTCGGCTTTGAAAGTATTCGATGTTGGGTGGTAGCAGGGGAAAAGGAATTCCTTTACTCCAGGAGAAACCAAATGTAGAAAGACCTGACAGTACTAAAGCTTACAAGTGGAGTTATCTACAAGCCCGACTCGTCCAATCACTCACACCAGGCTAAGACAGAACTGCTTTGCCATCGCGTTAAACGATTTAGGACAATTTTCTACTAATTTCGATGTTACTGTTACTAATTCTAGCGGCACGGCTGTCCGATAAGGATATGAATAAAGAAGAGATCTGCATTTGCGGGACAGTGTTGAGCTCTGGCAAAGTATTTTTAGAAGACGGAATCTTGTTAAGATATTATTATACTAGTCATTGATTGTGACACCCTTTATTGCCTTACCGTTGCATAAGCACCCCATAATGTGAAAGAAGAGATACAAAAAGACATTAACAGTCTCAGTTGGGGTGGTCCGTAGTGCTCCACTGACACATAAGAGTTCTGCCAGGTATTTTTTCAGACAAACGCGCAATATTAGAAAAACTTCGTCTTCCTTGGGTTAATGCCTAAGCTAACGTTATTCCACTTTTCCATCCGCTCTAGTCAGCTCTGCATATCAAATGGGGATTTGTCATTGTGCAGGACAACCATATCATTCTCGTAGGCTATCACTATGACTCTAAATCCCCCTCTTCTCAATGACTCTCAGCAATTAAGGACTCCAGATATTGCCAGATATTGTTGTCGGAATGAACCAAGCGCGCTGTGTTAGGTTCCGGTGATATAAGACACTAGTGGAAGTAAAGGTAAATAGAACAAATGTTCCGTGGGATAGATCTTGAATAATTTCGACCTAAAAACTAGCTCCACAACAGATGAAAATTTAGGGTATTAACTTGTACTATACAAAAAGCTTTCTTAATTTATTTATCCAGAACTTCTTTGGCATCCCTCATATGTCTTAATGTCTTTTTATTTCTTGACATAAACTTTCGACAGCCACTGAAATCCAGAAGAACACGCATTAAATTTATAGCGCAAATAATAACAGTCAAAAAGCAATAAATTAACTGACAGGGTTGTCCATTTTGCGGTTTCATAAATAGACACATATGAAATGGATTTAAAATATCCAAAATCTTCGCCACGCGAATTTTCACAAACCTCGTTCCAGATTTCGCACATCTTAGCCTTTACTTGACGAATTCTTGTTTTCAAGTGCTCAAAAGTAATAGGTTTATCTGTATAAGAACCGTCTTCCACGTAGCCCCACAAAAAAAATTCAACGCTGTCAAATAGCACGGTCTCTGTGTCTAATTCACATCGAAAGTACGAGAGATTACACTGCCGGCCGGGAAAATTCTCCCAATAAAGCCACATTAGCTCGTGTTCTGTGACATGTGATATTGTCTAAATCGAGCTCCTTAATTGCAGGCCAAAAAAGTCTGTCATCATACGATCATAATGCTACGAATTGACAGATACAGTCTCGTCGTTATCGTTTTCAAAAAAGTAAGGTCCAATCACACCGCCGGACTAAAGAGCGCAACTAGCAGCAAGTTTACTTTTTGGTGTACAATGGCCTCTCTGCAAGTATTTGAGAATTTTCGGAGCCACAAATGCTTTTGCGCTGAAGAAAATATTTTTCGAAAAATCGCCAACCTCTACTTGTTGTTCAATCACTCAATCGACGTGTGTACGACGTTGTGAATGGAAGTTAAGTTTGAGAGCTGTCAAAATACAGCTCGATACTTTTGAAAACACGAAATGGATTACCCTATATAATATTAGCCGAATAGTGGTTATTAGCACATTCACTTAAGCTTTGTATTTACTTAATATTGCCAAGGCGTTGTTGTTGTTATTCGTAGTTTAGCAAATTTTTTTTTAGAATTTCGAATTCAGCTTGAATTGCGTTGAACACACTTAACGAACTTGTCAAACTTGATGTTATACATATTTTATTATGCTATATTTCATAAAACACGATAAATCAGGATAATAAATTAGCGCATATTTATTGGCTGACTAAATGCAGTTGTTATTGTTGTTGTGGCAAGCGAGGCGAGCGCGCGCGCGCGCTTGCATAATGAACACGCAAAGCGACACTACAAGAGAGTTAAACAAATGCGAATGGAAATTTCGCACACTTTTCCACAAAGCAAAATAAAATTAAAAATTAAAATAAAAAGAAAATAAAACATACAAAAACGCTTACCTTTCAAGTGTCTGCAAATGTTGCTTGCTGGCGCGCACATATTCGCGGAAACTTTGCAATAAATACTCTTCGGTTCTTAGTAAATTTTCTAAGCCGGAAATGGATGAAAAGTAATCTATTTGCGCTTGGCAGGGCAAGGACAGCAGCAGGCAGGTGCAAGTGGCGATGAGCAGGTGGATGGTGGGCGATGTGAATTTCCAACGAATTTTGTTCATTTTGTATACTTTTTGTTGCTATTTTGATTCAATACTACTACTACTTAAATTATAATATTTTAATTTTTTTCTCTTCAATGGAGTAATTATTATTTTTTTTATTAATTTTTAATTTTATAATAATTTAAATTTTGTTTTATTTTTTATTTTATTTTAATATCTATATTTTAATTTTATTTACAAAATCATTTTTATTAAATTTTAAATTTATTAATAATTTAAATTTTGCTTTTAATTGATTTTTTATTTTATTTTAATTTTTATAATAATTAAAATTTGGTTTTTAATTAATTTTTTATTTAATTTTAGTTTTTGTTGCAATTTAAAATTTTTCTTATAATCAATTTTTTATTTTAATTTAATTTTTATCGGAAAATAAGTTTTTTTTATTAATTAAATTTTTATCTTGTACTATTTTTAACAGTTATATATTTTTAATGTATATTTTGTGGCATTAATTTAGCTTTTAATTTTATATATATAAATTATTTTTTTTTAAATTAATTTTTTTTTATTAATTAATTTTTTATTTAATTTTAGCTTTTGTTGCAATTCAATATTTTTCTAATAATTAATTTTTTATTTTATTTTAACTTTTATTACAATTAAATCTTTTCATTAAGTTATTTTCTTTTCTATATTTAACAGTTATATATTTTTAATATATATTTTGTGGCATTCATTTAATTTCTAATTCTATATATTTAAATTAATTTTGTTTTTAATATTGTAATATTGTTTTTTTTGCTCACAAATCTGCCGAATTCGCTACTACTTTTTTCACACCAGAACACTAACACAGTTTATTTTGTCACTTGAATATTAATGGAGTTCCGCGCTGATGCTTTTCGTATTAATTTTGAGCCGCCTCGCTGATTTTTCGCTACTTTTGCGCTAAGAGCGTTTTGTCTGTGAACTTGACGGTGTCGCGTTAGAAATACGACTAGTCAATTGTTAGTGAGATTTTAGCAAGGCTTTTGACGCGCTTCGCCTAGTGTCGCGTATTTTTTTTTTTTGTTTTTCAAACATCTTCATTTGCGTATTTTTTATGTTTTGTTTTTTATAGTGGCTTTTTCTCCGTGTTTTTTTTTTTGTTTTTTGCAACTAAACATATTAGCATTCGCCTCATCAGTTGCTCTTGTGATAAAAATTAAATTATTCTATGATCTCCATCTTAGCTAGTTTTTTTATTTTGCCGTTAGCTAGCTTAACCCGTACAGCAAGGCTTAGGGCAGCACTAATGCTGCGTCTTGTTTGTCGTGAAACTTAAAGAATTGTACTAATTTAAAACATTTCTGACAACTTGCTTATTCCCATTTTGCTTGTACTTATTCCATATACATATATACATACATATATATTTGAGTAGTGTGTGTAGTTATATGTAGACATCTACTAGGTCAATGTCGTAACTTAATAAGGGCGTTGTAAACAGCGCCTCTTGGTGGTTTGTGGTATTGGAGCAGTGTGGGTTTCCGCATCGCATTGCATGAGCATAGGATTATTGTATTTTTATACCCAGCGTCTAGGCGGTAGAGTCTGAAGTGAAGAGCCAAACAAGCAAAAAACAAAAATGAAATTATTTATTTTATTTTGTTATACGTATTTTATTGAATTCAATTTTCTTTTGTTACATATTATTTTTATTACTTAATACAATTTAATTCCATCTTATTTCTTTTTTTATATTTAGTTTAATTATATGCACATTAATTTTTATTTTATTTTATATTATTTTTTTNTAATTTTTTATTTAATTTATTATTTCCTTTTACATTTATAAATTTCATTTCATTATTTTTAATTTCATTTCATGTATAATATATTAATTATTTATTTAATAATTATTATTGTATTTAACTAAACTTTTCTTATTCAATTTTGTGTTGTTTATTTTTATATCATGTTTTATGGGCTTTTTTATTTGATTAAAACAAGAACTTAATCAATTTTTATATTAAATAATTTATACGGATTATAATTTATATTTAATTATATTGATTAAATGTTTTCTTATTTCTTTTCACTTAAGTTTCTATATTGTATTAACATTTTTCAATTTAACATTCTTTCTGTTTACTTTGTTTTAATTTTAGTTTTATTCCTTTTTATTAAATTTTTGAAATATAAATAATTTTTTTAGCTTATTTTAATTGTTTATTTCGTTTGTTATTTTATTTTGGTTTCTTTTAATTTTTCCTGTAAAGTAGTATAAATTAATTTTATCTTTGAAACGAAATACTTAATTTTATATTTTTTGTAATTTTTATATTACAATATAATTTACTTTATTTATTTTACTTTATTCATTCATATGTTTCATTTATATATTTAGGTTAAATTTAATTAAATTATAGTTTTAGCCAGTTTACTTTCTTATTTTATTTCATTTTCTATTTATTTAAAACAATAATTTAATTTGTTTTTTGTATAATACACTTTATAATAATTTATTTCATTTGAGTTTAATTTAAAATTTTTGAATATAATATTTCTCTATTTCATTTCCTTTAATTTGCTTGTTTTTACTTTTTAATTTAATTTTTTTCGTTACATTTTTTTTAGTATAATTTTTTTTTGTATAATTTTTTTTTGTATAATTTTTTTTCTATTTTGAATTTAATTTTTGTATTTGATATAATTTTTTTTAACATATTTCACTTTGTTTTAGCTTTTTGTAAATCTTTGTATATTTTATTTTGCGATTTGGTTTTACTTTAAATTTTTTTCATTTTGCATTATTATATTTAGTTCCTATCTTTCTACTTTGTTTTATTTAAATTTTTATTTCCAATATTTTAGCTTATATTATATAATTTATAATAATTACTATATTTTCTGTTTTTTTGTGTATTCCCATTTTTATTTTTGTTTAAATTTTTTCGCATTATTTTGTTTTATTTTTAATTTAATTTAATTTTTTTTTATTTTAATTTTAATTTTTTTTTGCTGTTTTTCTTTTGAATTCATTTTGTACTTTATTTACAAAATTTTCCTTAATTTTTTTTAATTGAATTTTATTTTTTTTCCACTTTTCATTTTTTATTTAAGTTATTTTATTTTTATTACTATATTTTATTTAATTTAATTAAATTGAGTATGTTTATTTTATTTTATTTAATTAGTTTTATTTTTTAATATTATGTGATTCATATAATTTTATTTAATATTATATAACTCGATTTTATTGGATATAATTTTATGTTGTTATTTTAAGTTTTTTTTATTTAATTTTATTTATTTTTAACTAATTTCAATTTATATAATTTTTAAATTTGATTTCACTTCATATAGCTTTGTTTTTTATTTTTTGTTTTATATTTTATTTCAGTGGTTTTATCTAATTCAAACTTTTTATTTTACTTAATTTTATTTGAAATTTAAGTTAATTTAATTTTACTTAACTTAATTAAATTAAATTAAATATTTTTTTTACTCTATTTGATTCAATTAAGGTTAATTTTATTTTATTTTATTTTATTTTATATTATTTTATTTTAATTTATTTTATTTTATTTTATTTATTTTTATTAATTTTATTTTATTTCACCTTATTTTATGTAATTTTCTATAGAAAATTTAGTTTCCTTCTCCGTAAATGTGCGTTGGATATACTTTACGTAGCTTTGTGTGATCTGAGACCCTTCAGTAATTTACTTTATTTTCTTACATGTGCTATATACATTTTAATATATATGTACGTATGTGTGCACATATATTGTTTACATCGCGGCATCGTCGTATGAGTAATGCCTGGAACTTATTATTATTGCAGTTTGTTGATAAGAGAGTATTTTGAAAACGAAAAAAAAACTGCTTGATAGTTTTTTATTTAGTAAATTATGAGCTTTAAATTAAATGTCAAATGCATTGAATGCGTTCAATTGCAATAAAGTGGCATATAGAAGGGAGTAGGCTGGGGAATTCGCATGGACACGTGTGTACTTATACATATATATATATGTATACTAGTATATATATACATGAGTACGAGTGTGTAAATTGATTTTGTGAATAGTGCAATGACTTGGGATCATTTGTTTTTACAGTAAACAACAAGCAAAGCTGTCAAGTGTTCAAGCGATGGGCATACATATATATAAGTGTTTATATATTTAATCACAACTAAATATCTGTTGTTTTTACAAAAGGAGTACTAAAAAACTGAATAAGTTAAAACAACTTTTTTTTCTAATTTGATAATTTACTCATTTAATATTGATTTTCTGTATTTATTTGTCACACAACAGCATCCGTGGGTTAAGAAAATGCTTCAAGTTTCATTCAAGCGTCTTTCAGTCTAATGAAATTCAAAACTTAAAATTAAATTAGCAACAGTTGATTTTTATCTTTTGTTTTGCTTTGATTTGATTTTCGGGGCAAAAAAAAAAAAATAAATAAATAAAAGATAAATAAAAAAAATCACTTCGGCTCAAACAGGTGCCGGTTACGTGTTTTACGGGTATGCATGTGTGTGTGCCAAAGTATTTATGCGCCAATATACGAATTGAGTTTAAAATTTGAGATAAAAAATCACAATAAAAATGTATAAACACTTTTATGAACTATATAATAGTGACTTGATAATAACGTTTGTTTGTATGATGGAAATTGAGGGAATTCTATTTTGGCACGAAGTCAATTGATTGTCCATTAAAATTTGTGTTTTATTAAACTAAGCGCTAGTTAATTATATACACATAAATAAATATATTAGAAAGAAGCTTAAAGTGACGGTAATGTGCAATAAAAATTGCTATAAGGTATGTATGTGTGTGTGCGAAGATGGTTAAAGTCGTAAAGTGGCCGGATAATCTATGGCTGAAATGTAATTTATAGATGCCCTTAGCGATTAACTGTATTTTTATAAACTGCAGTCAAAAAAATAAATAAAAATAAAAATTAAAAAAAAAGAAATTCAAATAAATTTGAAACGCGTGTGTACGCATTAATTAGTTTTATTTCTCAATTTTTTTTATCAAAACTAGTTTAGCATATCAACAGAATTTGGAATTGAAAGCACTTTTAGTAACAAAAAAAAAAGCAAAAAAAAAAAAAAATTTATTTATAAAATA